TTGTCGTGTTGACGCGAGATTTTATCAAGCTCCGGCTCCAAATTCTTCAAATATTAGGTGATTCAGGTCGTTTACAGTTAGTGGAATGTTGAAGCCCTTGTACTGTTATTTTGATTAGCAAATTCCCTTTATATTGAGGACCAAAGGACCATGTATGGAAAGACCAATTTTGTGTAGATGTAGTTGGTTTGATTCTAAAGAGGTTGATAACAATTGAAATTATTGTGACTGAAATTATTCTTACAATCATTTATACTTCAACATTTATTTGGTTTTCTTGGGATACTCTTGAGAACATTTATCAACCCTTGCGCTTCCCGTTTACATGCGTCTTTCAAACATCAGACGGCATAAAATATTGACTCTTGTATGCGTTTTATCTGCTTAACACATTCGTGTGGTTTATTTGAATTAAATACAATCTGCTTGGAACCCATCGTATAAGGTTTACGACCGAATGGTAATTTGCTTCCGTTGTGCGCTGTGCGGTCTCTCCGATGAATAATACTATTTTGATTTGATGTCTATTCAAGTAATTTCTATTGTTGACTAAACCTATTTGTGTAACTAAGAGTATAAAATGGATTCTAGATTAACTTTATTGTGTAAATAGTTCATGGTTTGCATTAACTTTAAATAGACCTCGTAAGGTAGGTTATGGATCTAGAGTACCTAATATAATCTGTTTGTAGTTTGTTTTCTGATCATGTTTTCTCTTCTTTTCAGGTAAGTTCCTATCGTCAGTGATATTTATTTTAGCTGTAGTGTTAACTGGGGTGAGTAATATCTTAACATGCATAATTCATTATCATGATAAAATACTCGTGTTGCAGATTATACAGATAAATAGTAATCTTTAGATCTTTTTTAATCTCTAAATATTTCTTGTCCAAAACAAAATTTTTATTATTTTATCGGGTTTAAGACAAAATCATTTCTAACTTTAATTTCACATTCCAAAATAGTAGAATTAGAGTAGAAATGTTGTCTAATTTATTTTAGATAAAGTGAAAACACAGCTTTGGCGGTCGTACAATTTCTAAACTCAGAAGATAATATGTATCGTTGATTGTTTACATAGCTATCTGGTATCCATCTGGCATATCTGGCGAATATGTAACATTCGTGAGTGGCGTCTAGCCACCGTGCCAACTACGATATGTAGGTCGACATGCCAAATAGGTATATTGTGTAGGGGCTCGTTTACATTTGCCTACACAAACAAATCTTAATGTACAAAATGGCTTTACTTAATTTGTTATCAAGTTTAGTTGGAGTTTACTATTTAGAGTTGGAGAAGTTTTGCTAATACCGAAAGATGTCGCTTCAATAAAACAGGTAGAGAATTAGTTGAGAGAATAAGTGTATGTGAAATTGTATGTTTGTAATCGCCCCCACGCACGGGAGAAAATCCCGGCGTGGGGCAATGTTTTATTAAATTATAAAAAGAAAAGAGTTCACGTTTTATTTAAGTTCTTACTTAATGTAAAAAAAAATTGTCAAGAACTTATCGGATAGTAAAACTAAAAAATAATTGTAATTCTTTTGCATTAAGACTTGAAATACATAATCGTATGAACTTAAGTTATCTCTTTTTTCAAGTTCTAAGTATGTATACAACATTTGTCCTCCGGTAAGACCATGAACCATAATAAAACGTAACCTGATTAGACAGGTGTGAAAACTCCTTAATTTTGAACTTTTGTCGAAACATCTGTAATGCGAACGACCTGAAAGAGTTTGATAAAGAGTACGTTGAACTTTTGAACTTTTTAAAGAAAGAACTCATGAAACGTTTTTAATCTTGATGCTTGTTATTCATTTACTTTATTTCAGCAGTACCTAATATTTAATTATTCTAGATTTTAAACTATAAATAGGTACATTTGTCAGCTACGGAAACGCTTATACGAAAAAAAACATAATCAAATCTTATATTGTTGTCGGGCGGTCATTCACTCTTCATTGTTTGTATAAGGTTAAAACCGCTTTTGTAATCCTTCTAGACTATTCAATTAATGTACCTACTAGCTAAATAAATACCACAAAAGTAGAATTGATTTCGAACTAACGACCTTACACTCCAGACACAGATTCGTCAGACAATTGTTCTATTAAAGTAATTGCCATTTAAATAGGTCCGAAATTGAAATAGCAGCCAGTCACAAGTTTTCCGTTAATCGCCTGTCTACAGATGATGTATTGCTTTTATATAAACTTCAGTGTCAAAATTTAAATTTCAATACTAATTTGGGTAAATTAAATTAAAATTTTACGTGTATTTTAAATGTGCGTCGTCGTGGCAATTGGTCTTTTTGTAAACACTATCAATTTCAACTTTTTCTCAGAGAAATATATCAAATCTGTAAATCGTCGGAAGCCCTAATCTCCACGAGTTGCAATGCATCGACGTAAATCATAATAGGATCGAATCCGTGACACGTGCTTCCATCCTCGTGGCTCGCCCCGTGGCACCCGAGGGCTTGGCCTATCCACCAGTCACGTAACCTGACCTAGGGCTGTTCGATAGATCGCAAAGAAACTGCCAATTTCCGGGGTGCCATCATCGTTATCGGTTAGAAGTCTTTTGATGGTTCGAAAGTTCTGATGCAATTTTATGTGCAACCTGGTGGTTTTGGAGTTGTCTGATATTAATGTCTCTTATGTTATACCTGTTCTGGTGAAAGATGCACGTCCCATTTGGTCTAAAATTCATCCTTTCATCTAAAATATTACTTTTTGAACGTTTTAAGGGCCATCAAGTGACTTCTTTCGGATTAGGTGGGACGACAGGGAGTGTCAGACTCTTTCTAATTAAAAACCACCCCGTTCTTTCTTCTGGTCTGCACCTGGGCCTCGGTACATAATTGCTCTTGCGGCCGCAACCTTTATTTGTGCTGTCATTTTATGCTAGAGGATAAAATTACTGAGAATCATTAAATCTATGTCCAATACATACTGTAAATAACAGGTCGATAATATTATACGTCGATATTCTATTGTTATCTACACGTACTTGTAGATATTAATAAACTCTAATGATGCATTAAGCGCGCTTATCTTACTAATTATATCTTGAACTGAATATCTGAACTTTAAATGTCAAAATAGTGCGACACTGCAGTGTGATGACGATACGACAGATAGCTCGATATTTATTATTGTTTTTGATCTTTGGTCCTAAGGTCCGCACGAGCGGTGCAATGGGCAAGTGCGTTTTAATTGAGAATATAACACAAATAGCAATTATTTACTATATCTCATAATCTAAATGTTGAGTTAAAATACAAACTATTTCCCCGACCTGAAAACTTTTTACAGTGTAAAAAAAATAAAAACATAAAAACCTTGTTTATAAAATAAACTACAGGCCATATTCAGTGCCTGAAATATGCAAAAGTACAGTCGGGTGCAGTGGGCGAGTCCGGTAACCCAGTTAGCCTGTGAACTGTACAGGATGCGGACGTTGACTCGTTTATGTAAATGGCACTTTGTGAGCGACTGTACAAGCTGTTTATGTGTGCTGATACAGGACAGCTTTGATGCATATAAAGTGTTTTCAAAATTTCAGCGAAATTTTATTCTAGCCGGGCGAAACGAAAACAGAAATATGCGTTTAAATTTTTTTTTACTTCATTTTACATCATAAATTTATTGGGTTCAGTCTTAAAATGTGTTTATGTGAATGTGGATACTTTTAAATGAGCGATTTACACATAGTTGAAGTAAGAGTTTTGCATCTTGAGTGAGACAGAGACAGAGACAGTGCCATGCATCTAAATGAAAAATGCAAGAACATATAAAGTAACCCGCCTTGCGGACCTAAGTCTATTTGTCACTGAGCTAGAGGAACATATTTCATACTGTTGTTCCAACACCGCATATTACGAACATGAATATTCAGAAGCTCACACAAAGCCCAAGAGACGTAACTCTGCAAGAAACTGTAACATAAATAACCATCAGCAGGAAAATATTATGTAAGATCATAAGTAAACTGTACGAGGCTCGTGTGAGGACCAAATACCAGGTTCTCACAGGGTAGATGTGGTCTTTGATAATATTCATATGTTTATCTGGGTGATCTAGGGAATGGTAATGTTGTACACGTAATTCTATACTTGCATATAAGTAGTGTCGTGTAGCGCTTTCCTTAACGGATTTAAGACAAATATGCTAGTGTAACTTCAAGTCGTGCAATTAGTCCGAGCTAATCCATTCAGCTATTTCATTGCGATTAATCTCAAAATCGACCGTTTAAATCTATTCGCTGTCCAATACTGAACAGATAATCCAATCATATGCTAGGACGGCTCGACAGCAATCGATGCGAGTTCGGGACCGAAAACTTAGGCGCGGCTCAAAAGCCTAGCCTGAGTGAATGTAGGCTCGGTAGATAAACATGTGTATAGCCAGATTAAGGCGTGGGTTAGGTCACGTTTTCCTTCACCGTTTGATGTAGTATATTTATTTATAGCTCACCTAGTTTCGTGAATTATGTCTGTTTCTCTCGATTTTCCCTTTATGAGGCAGTGGTGATACTAAATCAGTAGACTAAGCTAACATAGCTTGGAGCTACTTGCTACTTACTGGAGTAATGAACTGACTTAATTATTTGCCATATTGATGGGTTTATGATCTCGAAATACTTATTTACTCCTGGTGGCATTTGATGATGGCACAACTATCTTGCTTATTATTCGTCAATCTGCTTACATACATCTTAACATGCAAAATGTATGGTTTGCTGTAAGTACTTAAAGCTAAGCAACAACAACGTTGTATGCTAATGGCAATGGAATCGCTTACTATCCTCAGTATGCAAAAAATCCCAAACCTTCGAGCCGAAACATGCACAAACATTTGTACAAAATGTTCTAAGTACTTTCGCGGGCGGACCTTAGCACCAAAGTGTTCCAAACATTGGCTTTCCAACTTTCTTCGCTTTGATGTGCGCGAAAATCCGACTCGCATATTTCAAATGGATTCCAATGATATGCCTACGCATTCGTGAGATTGTGCATTTGCATATAATAAGTCTTTTGATCGCCCATAATGTTCTGAAATAGATAAAGTAATAAATCATAGGTTTCATTTAAATGATTTAAACATTGATAGCCGCGCCTACAGAGGCGATAAAATTAATTTCTACCGACATCTAAAATGCGAATTTAGTAGGAAAATTAAAAATCACGATAATGGTTTTTGAAAAAAAAAATGTTTCAAAAATTCTTTAGTGGTGAAATGAAAAATAGTTTTTTTTTTTTCTTTTTTTAAAAACATTGCAATCTGGACAAAGACATAAAATACTGCAGTGAATCATCTCGCTTTTAAAGTAGCATTGAAGCAATTTATGCTTATTCATGTTCCTCTATACAAAAAGTAAACTACAATATAATAAATAAATACTTGGCACGATCAACTTGTGCCGGGGGTCAGGTTTTGACCGCGTACTTACGTAAACCATTGTCTCCGCGTAATTAATTCTAAATACGCGCCTTATAAAGATATTCACGTCTTAGAAAGCAGTCAGTACATGATTCATAATTAAGTTCATCTGGTTTTACGTGGGTTTAGTGGGAATGGCTTTGTTCGTCGTGTTTGACTTTGAGAACTCAATATATGCTACTGCTGGCTTTTACATTACTTAATAGTAAGCTTCATATAAGAGGATCAAGATGAGAAATATACAGCTTAAGATAATATTATAGCTTAAGTCAACTCAAGTGTTGGTCCTTCGAGTAGGATTAAGGACCAAATAAAATCAAATGCGATTCTAAACATTCACACTTGAAATATAATCGACATTGTTTAAATTCAACCTGGTTGCTGGTCAAATTTTATACACTTGGTCCTATTTCTAGTAACAGTTAGTACCATTTTACCGTTATAAAGGTAATGTCTTCCTATAAATCCGACTCTGTTAGTGTCGTTATAGACTTGAGCTTGTTTAAGTAATCTTGTTGTCTATATGCTATGCCTCCCTTATTATATCAACATTATCTTTTACTGCCTAGGACCAATAAACCTGTAATTTATAACTTAGTTATATTTCTAAAGCTTTGATTTTGGTCTGCTCTTTACTTAAGATTTATTCGTTTTGAATAAAAATGAAAGCTTGATGCTTCTATTGTATAGAGACAATTATTTATGATTTGTTTTTAACCTAATTACTCCTTGTCTTTGTCGTTGGCTGCTTGTTGTTCGCGATTTGCTCAAGGGGAGAGTGGAATACCAGCGCAAGGTGTGTCTTGCACATGCTGAACTGATGCCCATTTCATCGCGAACTTGGGACATGCACCCACACTTTTGCTTGGCTCTTGTTTCTATATTATGAAATGAATTTTTCGCTTTCTTTCTTTCTTTACCTTCATTTCAGACTTACAGCCGGTTTCCGAAAAGCCGATCAATGTTAAAATAAATTTTAATCTCTCAAGTCATCTGATTGGTTGACTGAATTATCAACAACCAATCAGATGACAAGAGATTTGACACCTAGTTAGTTGATTTTAACATTGATCGGGCTTTCGGAAACCGGGCATTAATCTTATTTCCTATTTATATGTCCTCTTATAACCTTATCGTCTAGAAATATACTTTAGATCGTAAACGATTTAAAGCGCCATCGATAGAGACATCATAATTCTGTTCACTGGATAATGAAGAGTGAAAGTCAAAGTTTTAACACCACATAACTCCATAGGAACAAATCTGTACACATCTTCCATCTGTTAGATAGTTTAATTCCCCTTTTACGTCTTGATTATCAGGCGCGTGAGTCACGATCTGGTGCCAATGTGAACTGTGACCTGTGACGTAACAGTGGGAAATGTATGAACTGTTATGAAGTTATTGTTTTAATGCATTATTGTTGTCTTTAGTTGTACTACATAAACTCTAGACTTTGAAAATGTTGGAAATTAATAAACGCCAATAGGCTGTTATATTTTTCTTAAAAATAAATCGAAAATGCTTAACAGTGAATGTTGTGGACACTGTTTACTTCAGCTTATATTAGTAACTAAACTATATCTATCTTTTAGTTCTCTTCTTCTATTCTCCCGATCGCTCTCAATAGCCCCGAAAATATGAACTACAACTACACTAGCGTAGGTATTTATTGACGTTGTCATTTTAAAAATAACACCTCCCTCTCTATTTGCGTAAATTTACGAGACGTGCCGCGCCCACTGACGCCGTCATACAACCGAACCATCGAATTAAACCGAATTGTAAGCGACGCGCAAATACGCAATTGACGTCACTGTTACTATGCGCTGTGGGTTTAAAATAACTACACGTTTATTGCGGTACATGTGTCTATTTGAAGTATGAAGGATGGTTTATCTATTTCAAGTGCTCCAATTCTTAATACGATTTATCAACCTTGGCTTATATAAAGTTTGATCATCCTTAATCGGTTTATTGGCTTTTGAATTATATTTATTCAGCCATGAACTTGCATCTGCTACTTTCATTTCATTTCCTTCTTCGTTTACGAGAATACTTGCATATTCCAAAACAACTATTCTGCAACGATGAAAACTATCTGGTGAGATACGAAAATCTGGATAAATCTTAAGTCATTTAGTTATCCTGTGGGGACTCAATTTTTTCTTGTTTATTGATCAGTTAATCTCGTCTTCAGAAGTCGTGCTTATGACTTCTCCAAGTCTAGAGTAACAAAACGGTTGTAACCAATGACGTATTATATATAGACACGTCATGAACCAACATCGCGGCGCTTAAAAACGGCGAAAATACTAGATAACTACTTCTACGAGTAAAGAAAGGGAAAGAGAATATGACATCGTATAGTGGAATGCCTTTGCTAGAGGGAGATAAATATACATCTTCAGTTATGCCGACGGCACGTGACTATACCTTCATGCGCCGGCCGCCATAAGATGGCGGGCGCCGGCGTCGAAAAAAATAAAATAAAAATAGGTTGTTTGGTGAACCGCATGAAATGACACATTTTTGTCTTTAACTTTTGGAGTATAATTTGTACATCGTCTGAACACACACGACGGCATGCTTTCTTTATGTTTCGCACAGGTTTACACACACGATATAAATTAAAAACAAACGTAGCGTTGCGCTGCAGGTTGGTGCGTAACTAAGCGCGATGTTGTCAATTGCCTTCATTTCATGTTGTCATTTTAGAGCGCGGACAACGTATCTATAGTTTTATACATCATTGGTTGTAACAAAGTTTAACAATACGTTGTAATGCAAATATAACATTTCACTTCTATACATTGAATGAAATTTTTCTATTGTTTTCCTATGAAAACAATACATTCATTAGTCGAACAAATGACTGGCGCTAAGCAGTCGTTTAATTTAAACACGTTCAAACAAGTAATGACGTCAAATACGAGGATGTTTCCAGATTTAGTGACAAGTTTGTCTCTACGTGTCCGTTTTAAGGAAAATTACGACATGGTTAGTTGAACAATATCGTAATTTTCCTTAAAACGGACACGTAGAGGCAAACTTGTCACTAAATCTGGAAACATCCTCGTATTTGATTTTATTTTGATTTAGTTAGGTAAAAGTTTTAATTATAGTTTTGTGTTTACTGTTTTTATAATTTTTTTTGTTAGGGTAATATTATTAACTGACTTCTCCCGGCCAGGGGTCGGGCGGAAATGCCTGTTCCTGCTCTGGGCCGAGGCCGCAGTGCCTCATTGCTGAACATCAGCCCTATACACCTTTGAGGCACGCCAGGAACGATACGCGCCGTACGCTCGGGTCTAGTCCTCCTCAGGAGGCGAGCAACCTTTACTCGCCGTCTGCAGACCTGCGACTGCTTATATAGCTGGATTCAGTCGTGCTTACTGTAGGTAATATAAATTAATTTGCAAGAATCATACGAAAGTTATAAAATAAATCTTGCCAATATGAACTCTAATAAAACTGACATCCGTGTAAGGATGTCAAATGTTTTATTTATGAGCATTTACTGATGCCGTTGAAAAGGTAATGTTTATGGCTGTGAATTTATTTTCTAATGATCTGTTGTAAATTTTGACTAGTAAATGTACTGGGGTGATTATAAGACAGCCACGGATGTAAACTTCAAGTCATTAGGTTGTTGATTTAAATACGATGCTCACGACTAACGTGCTATTTTCACTTTTGCTTCAGTCATTTAGAAGTATCTTGTGTCGTGATTACATGTATTATTAATTTGGTCATTTTAACTGTAACTTGTTAATTGCTGATGAATTTTCTAAAACCTGTTTGGTCGTCAAGTAGCTATTTATTGTAAGTGAAGTAAGTAGATGTCGATTTTTATTTAAAATCCCCTAAAAATACTAATATTAAAACAATTGACAAAGCTATTTTATTCCCCTTACAGCCTGTTCTATACATTTCATAAAACGATGGCTCTATGAATCAATGATGCGTCGAGAATGTAAGTTTTTGCACTGCCTGGTGAAGATAATTGAGGTAATGAATCTGTAATAGACTAGCTTCTTTAAAATCTACATTTTTTTACAGCTTGTGTATGATAATAATTTACTGTAATCGTAGATAAATTTACACAAATATTGACACTGTTTTGGGAAATACAAAGGTATAATATAAATATGTCTGTTACTCTTACTTTATTATTTTCCCTCACTTCATTAACACTGTCTTCTAAGACCATAAAATTATTTCTATTGGCTCATTGTCAATGAGTTAATAGCCTCATTAGTACGTGTTTGCATCACACGTCATCATATTGACCTCACAGCAAACAAGCAATGATCCATGTAACAACAATTTTGCATTAAACCCCATCTATTAACATTGGCTGATACATGCTAGCTTTTAACCTCAATCGTTCAGAGATTTTAGGTCAAACATATTTTTTTATAATCTTTCCCATCCTTACTTACATTATGCCAGTGACTAGTCTCACAAATCTTTTTATCTCATGATCCGTTTGATCGTAATATAAGCGAAACGCACAGAAAGATACGACATCACATCTATATACATTACCATACAAAATTAAAAGTCTGTCTCAAGTTATGTGGAACAAAATCAGCGTGGTCCACATCTTTATGTAGGTCACTAATTTAAACATACCTGGACAACAGTACTGGTAAATTGAATACAACTAGAAAAATATCTTTATCTCTCTCTCTCTCTCCTGTATCAAAGATATTCATCGCCATTGTATCGGGATCACTGAGACTTTTCCGGCAGTTCAGACGGGCCAATAAACAGCCGGTCTGACACAATGGGGACGTGGCCTTTGCGCTCAAAACAGCATCCAGTGCAGTGTTACATAACAGATGTCACCAGGCTATGTTTATCGTTTCTACCGCAATACTTTGATAAGAATGACAACAAGCTACTTTATATAGAATCATGCGTTTATCGGTTTGGTCTTAACGTGGTCCTTGCATCCGAACTAACAAATTGCAAGACAAGGACAACTTTGAGTCGGAATGAGTCTTCTTTGAACTTAGAGGGCTTACTGATGATAAAATTAAAAAGTCACAGTGACATCATCAATGAAATTGCAACAGATCACAAAGTTGAACCGGAAAGGAATGACTTGTCCCATGTCTAACAAGAGCCAATAAACTAGCAACTGCCCACCACTTTATCTTTAAACTCGTTGCGTGTGCCGTAAGGAGTTTCTAACGGGAACCGATTATTTGTGACTTTGTCTTATTTCTGTTTACATAGTAACATAATATTATCTAGTAGATAGGAATTAGCACCATTTTTACTTATAAGCATTTTTATAGCTATAGCTAAAGGTATTATTTTGTGTCGACTCTTTAGTACTTTTTCCTCCATGACTACTCTAAAGCCGCTATTTATAACCTAGGTCATGTTTGATGTATTTATAATGGTGTTGACTAATATTCCATTTTAAATTTCAATATTTCATCGTACGCATTCTACTTTCTTTTATCTCCAGCGGCATGCTTGGAATTCCTTGAATGCTGTAAAAACAGAATGCACTTATTTTAATAAATCTTAAGAAATGTCGAAGATGCTGTGCACTGAAAAGTAATTTGCTTGTTTGGAGGTTGCATTTAATTAACAAGATGGTATTAGTGCGTTAAAATAAAATGATACCAGTTGCTATCGGTCAAAAAGCTAAAGACCTACGTGTCAGTTTCCTGGCAGACTGCGAATTTCTCGTGTCTAACCTGTTTGCACGTTGTAGCGAAAAAAAATAGGATCCCCACTATTGCAAAATGTACTTTAAATTGAAATGTATTAGAGCTCATTTTGTATTGATAGGATTAGTCGTTCGAAAACCAATTTCGCTCTCAACAGTCGGCGCACTACTCAGTAATAATTCAGTAAGGCGCGTGACTGCGCACATGAAAGACGTGCTCGCTACGTTCGGACGGAAAATAATCTTATTATCCGACGCGATCGTGAATTTTGCGAAGTTTAAATTTTTAACGAAAGCGTGCTTTAGCTTTCTTTTTTATTTTAAATTTTGTGTGTTAGTGATACCTGGAATATAAAAAATTGGATTGTGGTATATCTATTGAAACGTGAGTTTTCCCGTGTATTGGGTAAATCCCTTTACGTGTTTGCAAAACATTGGCTGTGGACCGCGTAGGGAATTTTTTACTGTCTTTTTCATAATTTCTGAAGAAAATAATTCTTATTTTGCACGATATAAACCACTCGTGACTTAGAACATTGTACAATTTATAAAAATTAACAATACAGTGCGAATTTTCTGGAGTATACATAACAAATTAGGTGCATTGCGTCGATGATCTAGTTTTAACTTCAATCGATTTCCTAACGTGTCTATGATGGAATAATAGCCCTTTTCATTTGTTTATCTTTCATAAACGTATCTTGATACAGTTCTCAGTCTATTCTGTAGCTAACTAATCATTCATAAGGTTTCCGTTTTAATATAATTTAGTATCAATTGTTTATACATAGCAGGTACAGCGTAGGTGTTAATTAATTAACCCTTTAAACAATTTTGTTTTAACTTTTAAATGCAGTATTGTAAAGTAATTACTGTTTTCATTTACTGCTTTTCTGAAGAGTATTATTGCTCTTTGAGTAAAAAAAATATGCGTTGTAACATAGTCCCAATAGACAGTCTTATGAATTTATATATTGTGACAATTGGAAATAAGCGTTCGGTTTGATTAGTTATTAAGTTTTATTTTTTTCCGTTTTAATCTTTCTTTTTTCTAAATAGCCTTGGATTTTTTTCACTGCTCTTGTTATTTAGTGTCCAGTTAGCAAATGCGATTTTCGGTTCACTATTGACATTTTATTTCTGTTTAAATTTATTAAACACGACTAATTTATTATTATTTCAACTTTGAATTTTCTTCTGGCCTCGGAATCGTGTTTAAGTTCGAAGTGATGTTTCGTAATCTCAAAAAGTTGGTGATGAAAATCATGTGTTAGCGAGGCTTTGTTTTTGTAATATCAACATTTTCATGGGAAGTAATTTTTAATTTGAATAGGAATGGACCGTTGTTTATAGTATTAGATTAATTACATATAATTTCTAGGATTAATTATGTTTCTAGTATCTTGTTGGAAATACTCATGAAATCACTTAAAATTTATTATTTACTAAAATATTATTATGGTGTAGGGGTCTTGAATTTAAAAACAAAATATAAAAGGAAGTTTCAGTAAGTTTTGCACCAATACAATAGGGTTTTGAATTGTTAATAGGTATCAACCATCGGTCTGGATTTCTTTATTTTCGAATAAAATGTTACATTGTTTATATTTTCCCTGTTTATATTAAGGTACAGTGTACCTATTTCATATAAATTCACCAAAATTATAATGACAGAAATAAATCAGTGGAATCCTGTGCCGGAATCTGAGCACCCCGAAGTATTATAACCTGGGTGTCTTCAAGGCCCGAGTTTTATGAGTAGACGTGCTCCATCATAGGTAGCATTATCGCTTACCATCAGACCTGATAGCGGCAAAGGTCTACCAATTACGAATATAAAAAATAGCATGTTACTGATTCTTTACATGTAAGTTGAGTTAAAATAAAAATATAAAATTTCGGGGCATAGTTCAGCAATTCCTATACAATATATTACGTGGGAAAAAGGAAATTTCTATATGAACCACGTTCTTTTCGCTGATTGGTTAAAGCAGTATTACTATTATCGTTATCATCAATCATAATACATGCTTTACACGTCACGTAAGTACATACAACAAATAATAATGTAATAATATTCCATTATTAGCTTAAAATGTGTCGTTCATATGACGAATTTCGTGCTAAATTTTCCTAATTAAAGTGGAAAATTCGAAATCTGATGATTAATAATATTTACTGGTACTTCATTAATCGCATCATCAGGTTTTAATCAATTGTGTTGTGAATATTGATATGTTTATGGTGAAAATATGACTTATTTTTTTCTAATTAATAATTATAATTCTATGTGAATCATTGGATTCATATCAAATCAAATCAAATTCTTTATTTCAAGTAGACTACAAAAGGCACTTTTGAACGTCAAGCAAAAAAGATTAAGGTCTGAGTTACCTCGTAGAAACGTAAGTAGTAACTTTTTCTTATTTGCTATGCATTAAAGCAATAATTTTGAGTATTACTTAGTTAACAGTAGTTTTTTCTTCTATAGGTTCGTGTGTTGGTAGGTTCTTTTTCTCGTGTGGTCTTTTCATTTCATGGTGGTCCTAAAATAATGGATCTGTTTATCATCAATGGTGCTGGAGGTTTTAAACCTGCCAAGAATCAACGTGACTTTTTCCTGGCCATACGCACTTTTTAAGTAAGTATATTTAGACACCCCTGATAAACCGTGATGGTGAAAATCGTGAGCAAACCTGGACTTATAATATTTAATTTTAAGTTTGAAATCGACAATCCTAGGCTGAATGTGTGATAATGAATTTGAGACTTTTTTAATAAGAAAGAACTATAACTATATTAACTTAATCATCAATGTTTTACTATGTCGTATCATAAGACCATAAATTGCAGTTGCATAATAAACTTGACTCATTACTATTTTATAAATATTCTCTGTGTTGCCATACTTCGCTGGTTCTGTCGGTCACGGCTTCAGATCCCATTTCATAATATAGTAAATGAGTAATTTATATTTTTTTTAAAACTGAAAATGTGTAATTTTTTAAGATAAGCTTTTTTACTTCTTCATCCAATTTCCCTTCTGTTGATAGATGGTCCTTATCCCCATTTTCATTGATGGGGTTATTGAATAATCGGATATGGATAATTTTGTGCTCAGACTCTGGGTGTGACACTGTGCAAGCAAAGAAGGGATTGCTTGATAACGTTTTAATACCGAAAGAGAGCTCTTTTGCTGGATCTCCCAAAAGTCTCAGGGTTAAATCTGAATAAACAGAATGTGATTCTGACGTGTACTGTTTATGTCTGATTGTTTTCGCTGTGACTGCTACCTCCGGCCTTGTTGATTCGTACAAGATGTATGCCCGGATGTCCCGCATACCAAGTCCAAGAATCTCTTCTTTGAAGCGAAGAATATCTCCCTTGGACAATGCAAGTTGATAGTAAAATGGTCTCTTTGGTTTAAAAACTTTAATTCTTCCAAATGCCTAGACTCTGAACTTCCAAGATGAAGCGAGTCGTTTGATAAAATATCTAAAATCTAATTTGGATCTGTTAACTGTAGGATTCTTCAGATCGAATGACATACTTTCTTCGGTGCTTAATGATTACGTATAACTATTTCTTTAACGGCTGTCATGTCATCTATCTTACTGGAACTGTTATTATGATGATATGTTTGTCATCTAAACGACGCTTCTCAGAGAGTAAGATCACACTACTGTTATAAGGTGTAGATGTAATCTTAACATGTGATTTGCGTTGTCTTAAATGGCTTTTATGCGTAAGTTGAATAAGAGAACAGCCAGAACACTCAAATATCAGTATTCTCTTTCATATATATGTTAAAATATAGGTACGCACTAATCTTAATTAGTTTTTGTCATTTGGTTGAAAATACTGATGAGAATAGATTGCGTCGAATTAAACTAAAGCTAGTAGGTCTTGTTGGTTTGTGATTGTACTTTTAATCATTTAACTTAGCAACGTGTTACACTTTGTCGCGGTAATGTACGGATTATAGAGGTCATGGGCACACGTGCAAATAAAGATACTGGCTTGGGTTTGAAGTCAAAAGAGTTATCAGATAGTGCCTTCCTACTTCCCAATTGAGTTCGCTAAAAAGTAATTTCTGGAAAATAATCTCAATATTCCTCAATACCAATCAATCGTCAAACATGTAATCTATGTCTAAAAAATCTAAAAATATTTATTATATTCATGCAAATTATTTGAGATTTAAGATTTCTAAGATGTTAGACACGATTGAATACCATTTCTGATCAATTTTCTATCTAAAAATAGACGCAATTATTTTGGTCTTTTACGTAACCGAAATTTAGATACAAGCAAATATTGACAGAAAACCAAGTAATAACGCTCTCTGATACACCTGAAACTGTTAAACTGCGATATCTTACCTGGGTAAGATATCAAGCAAAATCGAACCGCTTGGCATCTGGATGCCAAGCGGTTCGATTTTGGCAAGCCCATCTTATGAATAAAAGGCCCATAGTTTGCAAGCGGACCGTGGTCCGACTCGGAGCAGAAGAAAGAACAGAAGTTTTTCTAGTTAGTAAGAGACTGAAACTCCCTGTCTCTGTCACAAGGACACAAAAAGCGATTTAATGACCAAGCCCACAAAAAATTGACAATGAAGTAACAGTCAAAGAAGGATTAAATTAGCTATTGAACGAAATCGTGAATTCGTCAAATGAATCGCTAAATGTATCTGTGTGTTCAAAAGATTCAAACTGTATTTTGCATACTTACGGACCACAATAAATGTTCAACTAAGAGAGTCGCCCACAAGGAACAATAATCCAATTGAACCAATAGTCTGTGTACGACTAGCGTAGTAACAATTTATGAATTTATTACGCCATCTTCCTTGTGAAATAGTCATCAACAATAGATTGTTTGTTCACTGTTGCACTGAAGCAGTTGCTTGTCTGATCAGTTTGTGATACATTATCAAAATACGATTTCAATTAGTCTAGAATAGAATAGATGTATTTATTTGCTCAGAATGTAGGCATTACATTGATCAGTCGGGGTTCCGGGACAAGCGCAATAAGTCACCGCGGCCTCGGTCTAGAGCAGGAGAATGAAACGTGGGGTTTTTAGTCAGTAAGAGTCTGACACTCCGTCCCTTCTCCCTGGGCGGGAGAAGTCAATTGATGATGTTCCCCTCAAAAAAAGGTAATACAGTTAAGGTGTTACAATTAAATAATAAGCCTTTTATACGTTTTTCCTTATGACATGTACAATTTTATTGTTCTTAACTAGTTTGTTGGTCCTTTAGTTCCTAATAAAGTATAGACTCTTATAATACACATGCGTATTGAAAGTGACGGTCGAAATGTTTAGTTTCGAAGGTACGAAGTAGTTCTACGCAATGTCAAGAAAATTTGTTATAAGTAA